GAGACACGTAACGCTGTTACCAACAGGTGCCAGTACAGTAAGTTACCGTAAAAGTGACGACTTAGTTTTACTATTTAATTTCATTTTAGCTCATCATGCTGTTACATACGTTTATTGTAAATGAATGAATAATAAGTTAGCAGACTAAAATAAAGAAAATGACTCCAGTCTAGGTCCCCCTCCCCCCTCATCCACTACCTTTAACGTTAGTTTAAGAAGCCTCCTTAGGGTGCTGGCTAGAATGAGGCGGATTTACGAAAAGCTTCACTTCTTACCAACATTTTGGAAGTAAGTCAGTCCTTTCTAGCTATTGTCAATACAAATAAATTGTCAATATCTCTCTATATAATTAGGTTTTAGTTAGCTGAATAACCTGTGGCGCAGTAACGTTAACGACTAGCTAATAACGTTAGATAACGTTACCTGTCTCTTCACCGTTGTAACGTTACAGCTTTCCGATAGCGATGTTGAGACTTCCTACTAATACTATGTTGATTTAAAATCAATTTAACGTTAACATATCTGTTGGTGAACATTAGCGAGCCAAGTCATTAAATGAACGTTACGTTACAAACAGCTGTCCAATACCTACGTTACAGGAAAAGTTTAGCTCATCATGCTGTTACATACGTTTATTGTAAATGAATGAATAATAGGTTAGCAGACTAAAAGAAAGAAAAAGGCTACTCATACGGTAAGAACGCATTTAATCTTTCGGTTACATCGCCGATGGAAAGTTGCCTAAACCATAAATAACTACACCCTGAGGTCGTTGGATCGAATCCCGCTCGTTCCTAATTCGTTATGATCATATTATGACTACTGTACATTAATATTGTCACACACATATCCACATCCTTATGAAAATGAATAGTGTGTGTGCAGTAGTGTGTGTGTGTGTGTGTGTGTGTGTGTGTGTGTGCGTGCGTGCGTGTGTGTGTGTGTTTATCTTCACACCAACAGGCTCTCTGAGGAGCGCACACACACACAGACACACACAGTTTGGTCGGCGATGATTAAGGTATCTTAATGTATTTTATGTCGGGGTTGCCATAGCTACATAAAATGAACATGTCCACCTGGACCTGGACCAGTCAGTCCCTCTGCCGTCCTCAACACGTGCGTATGGTATAGACAGATAACCACAGATATTAGTAGTAGTAGTAGTAGTAGTAGTAGTAGTAATCTGAAATGAAGAAGCACAATTAAACGAAATGTCACGACATCCAGACATCAGCCTAAACGTCGTAACGTAACGGCTTTCGAAATGTAATGTCTAATGATTAGCGTTAGCATTAGCATTATATAAATCAGCGCTGCGTTCCATTTTCATGGGCTAGTGGCGCAATGGATAACGCGTCTGACTACGGATCAGAAGATTCTAGGTTCGACTCCTGGCTAGCTCGACTTTTTGGTTTTATTTCGAAATGTTTTATTTTTATTTTTTATTTGTACATCCGACTCGCAGACCGGGAAGCGTACCGACCGAAGGCTCAAATGGGACATGTTCGTCTTTTAAACGGCAAACTCAGCCTACACGCGTACATGTAATTACACCGCCAGCAGAGTGCGACCGCCCCCTCGTGGAGACCGTACCAAGTACAGGACACACAGCATTACCACAGGGTCGAGCCAGGACTGTACCAAGTACAGGACACACAGCATTACCACAGGGTCGAGCCAGGACTGTACCAAGTACAGGACACACAGCATTACCACAGGGTCGAGCCAGGACTGTACCAAGTACAGGACACACAACATTACCACAGGGTCGAGCCAGGACTGTACCAAGTACAGGACACACAGCAACACAGGGGTTCATTCATCGTTTTAGCATTGTAGTTTTATCTCAGACTAAAAAATAAATGCTTTTATTGTTATCATACCTCGTATTGAAGTATAAGTAATCAAACTTGTAATCTAATCGAAGATATGAAAAAACCAGTGTAATATAGTTTTGGACTGGTCTACTCCAGTGGAGAGGGGTTTTCCTGGAGCATTTTGAGATAACAGCAGATGTAATCCTCCTATGTGTTGAGTAAGGTTAATATCTATGATGTCTGATCTTGCATCAAAACCTCTCCTTTAAAGGTTAGCGGATGAAACCAGTATAATAAAGTTATGGATGTCAAATATGGAGGGAATTTACTGTAGTGTTGACATGATAGCATATTTTATTAGGCATAATAAAATATGCTCCACATTATGACATGTTGACGCTGGGGGAGTTGGGTGGACACAGGATATCTGCCAAGACATTCATTCACAAAATAAGATGATCCATAGTTTCTCCAACCTTTGGTTTCTTATTAATGAGCCAATTAGAGCCAAATGGAGGAAGTTCACACCTGCTCATCGTTGTTGTAGATGTGGGCCATCCCTCTCCGTCTGAGGTTGAAGCATGGGAGGCCAGACAGATGTGTGAAAACATGTGGGAACAGTTAGTAATACGAATAGTAAACCAAATCTGTTAATATAATGTATTACTAACTCTTCCCACATGTTTTCACACAAAGCTTAAGGAGTGCGTGAACAGTGAGAAAGCTGTTGTTGTCAATCACTACTAAAGAGTTTACAAAACCACATCAAAGTTTAGTCCTCCTCTGGAAAAGGGATTAGATTTGAATAAACCCGGTTTCCACTGCTTTCTGTTACTCTGTTCCACATCTTCACTGCCATCTAAAATGCATGACCTACAATGACATTTTAACCTCGGTTGTGTGACACGGACATTATTGCACTCGTATATTTTTTGTAAATAATTTATTGCATTATTGAAAATTACTTCACTTCAAGAGTAAATCAGATAAATATAGGTTATTTGAGCCAACGTATGGTTATACAGAAAAAAACGGTTTCAAAATAGTCATTTGGCGAGCAAGCTATAATCTTCTACTGGTTACATATATAGTCTGTGTCCTCATAACCATATTCAGTTTAATCTCAGCTGAAGTATATAGTCTACTGGGAAACAACCTATTGAAACATATCAGCAATTTCCATGGAACTTACTTCATACTTATGTTAATGAATACAATATTATGTGGGCCTAATTTAAATTGCAAGTACCCATACTCACAGAATGGTAACGCTGATTAATACACTTTTCGAAGGCAGGACTATTAGACTTACACCAGGAGCACACTGCAATGATTGTCTTAATTACAGAGACACAGCAAAAAACAAAAAAAAATCTCAATAACAAATGTATTGAACGTCCACTTTTTTTGCTTCTTCCATTTTCTTTGGCAGTTCCTTCATATGTCCACCAGTGGGCTCCCTCCGCCCAACACTAGAGCTGGTAGGAGGCGGCGATGGGCGAGGAGCTTCCCGGCTCGATGTGCTTCAGGTGGCAGGAGTGACAGAGCAGGTGGCCGTTCAGGGGGTAGCAGCGGTGACCTTCTTCATCGTTCAGCTCCATTTTACAGTCCTGCAACACGGATACAGAAAATTACAAAAATCAATCTCACCACCGCACTGTGTTGGTCGTAATGTTTCCTTTGGTCATTGTCAAGTTATTCATTTTGAAATGCTTTGTCATTATGGGGAAGACATTGTGGTGTTTAAAACCGCCACAGCGTTTTCTCATGCGAGGTGTGGCCTCGGTTTACGGTATATTTATGTTGATTTAGGATTTCGCAGCGCTACAACTCCCTCGAGTCCCTTCAATATGGCGGAGTATCGCCTGATGTACGAGCGCTATACCGTCCTTCTGCGGCGTCTCCCCCTCAGGGCCGCCTCCCCCAAGGACGGCTCTGGGGCTGAATGGGGAGATTGTGATGATGATGAGGTGCGGCACGCAGCAGTCTGTGGTTATCATCCGCAAACTGTAATTAGGGCTTTTAGAAAGTCTTTGTTGTGTTTTCTCTAAACGGCAGTGGGGACTTGGGGGGGGGGGGGGGGGGGGGGGGGCAGGGAGCCCTAATGAGGGTTTTCAAACGAGCCTACATTCCCCGTGTTTATTCTCGGTGGCGGTGGCGGTGGAGCGGCGGGAAACACCTCGGTCACACCCACCTCACAGTGATAGCACTCCACATGGTAGTCCCTGTCCATGGACACCACTCGGACGGTTTCATCAGACCCCTGGGGAGACGGGAAGGGCACACACACGCGCGCACACACACACACACACACACGTGCACACGCACACACACACACACACACACACACACAAAAAGGTCAGATCAATATCGCCGGCGGTACACATGGCGCTGCGTTTGACCTGCCCGTTTGCCAAAGATTTCAGAAGAATTTCATCACAGTTTGTAATCCGTTGGAATGGGAAGCGTTTCCGCCGACACTTCTGCCGCTTCGCCGTCTTATATTCAAACCTCGGAACGAGGAGGAAAAGTTTTGAGTGATGAGTTCTGCCGGATGATTGACACGCAGCCAACGAGACAAATTGTCCCGCCTCCTGCCAGCGGATTTAATATGCGAACCACAAGTACTGCCTACCGAGTGCAAAAAGTATGGCGAGCTTTTTTAATCTATTTTAGAAGTTTCTTTGAAGATGGAAAGGCGGCAGACGTCGCACGTGTTTTGGGCCGTTGCGTGTGTCTGGACAACGTCCATTCCTCTGGTCGGTGCCCCACCTCAGACACGAGGAGAGAGGGGTTGGTTTGAATGTTTTTCGTTCTTGTAACTGAACCGGAAAAAGCAGCCGGATTTGCGGAAAATATTTGCGGTATTAATTCGGATTAAAGGCTTTGTTGTTTAATGTTTCGGGAAACGATAAGTAGACATGACTAGGTGCCAATGGTCCGACAAACAGCGCAACGTTTACACAGCTCACGGTACACTAAGCTCAGCGGGAAAATAAATGGTAAATGGACTGCATTTATAAAGAGCACTTTTCAGACCTGTGGCCGCTCAGTGTGCTCACATTCACCCATTCATACACACGTTCACACACTGACGCCATTGTCGACCGTGCAAGGGAAACGGCCGGCCCACCGGGAGCCTCTAGGGTTAGGCGTCTCGCTTAGGGACACCTCGACACTTAGCCAGGAGGAGCCGGGGATTCGAACCGGCGACCTTCTGGTTGCCAGACGACGCGCTCCGCCTCCTGAGCCACTCCCGTCCGACCACAGGTAACATTGAACGCTTCAGTAGTCCCATTTAATTACAGTTTTAGTCTTAAATTATACATCATACACAGACTGTTTTTTTTGAAGGACCTCGCTCGTTTTTCACACACAGTCACCCTGGTATCTTGAATCTTCCAGTGGGTTGTGACCTTGAGATACTTCTGGGGGGACACCGGATACCGATACCACCACAACATGTAGACTCAGCAGAGTCCCCATAAATCACCAGTGGCCCCGTAGTAGGGGAACCTGTCAGGTGGCCACATGTAAGACACTAGTGCTGCGCCTCTGGCTTTTTATGAGTCAAGAGGATTTTGCAATAACTGCGTCACTGCCTATAATTCTACGCCCTTATTAGAAATCCCATTCTGACATTCTTTAATGAACACACAAGAGGCAAACTGAGATGACGAAGGATTTCTCCCTATGCTTAACTATCCTATGGTGAGCGGCCATTTTACGTGCACCACAGTATTTCTATGAAAGGGGGTACAATTCTGGAACAACACTCGCATGAGTAGCAGGCTAACCCTTGAGCACAACCGGCAGATTTTGCACTACTTCTCCGGTACTTGTGTTGTCATGAGTGCGATCAACCAATTACAGACTCACCTCTGAGGGAAGGATGGGCTGGTTACAGGAAGCACATTTTGGCGCCAGGACTCTGGCAGGAGAGATGAAGAAGGAAAAAAGGTTGTTATTATTATTGATGGACTGCTATGAATTATTGATTGATTCATACACATTCATTCTTTGTAGTTTGTATACATTATTCATTTAAACATAGACACCAATGTCGGTTTCTTTAGTTGTCGGTAACATGTATTCGACAATCCACAAAAAGACAGGATTCCAGACAGCTGGATGTGCAATAGATCAAGTATTTGATCATATCCAGGAGAGAAATAAGTCTCTCCTGAGGTACTTGTGGTACTAAAATGGCAACAGACTGTCTTTTTCTTCCAACCGGTTAATGTGGAGAACAGCGCGCTTCTGCCAGATGCAGACTGCGTACGCTGTCCTCGGGGCTGACAGAGTATGTGACTGTTGTCTTAAATGGAGAGGAATGATGATGGACACGTATTGGCTGGATGCTGATTCTCTCCCTCTCTCTCCCTCCCTCTCTCTCTCCCTCCCCCTCTCTCTCTCTCTCTCCCTCTCTCTCCCTCCCTCTCTCTCTCCCTCCCTCTCTCCCTCCCTCTCCCTGTCCAAACATGTGCTTTCTCAAGAGTCTGTCACACGTGGCAGAGTGTAGTATATAATATGTAGTGTGTTGTATGTCGAGTGTCCTAGAGTGTAGTATGTAGGCAGGGAGTAGGTCCAACATCAAGCATTGCAGAACCTTGTCAAACAAGTCATGCTGTATTCAGGTGAACAGCTGTGTTAGGGGGTTTTGGTTGGTAGGTTGAAGTATTTAAGTGATAGAGCGCACCCTTTTAATCCCAAGTGGCGTGGTTTTGTTTTATTTGTTTAGATACACGTCATTAAGGAGCAGGTAGGGGTAAGACGGTACAGAGACAGGTCACTAAGGAGCAGGTAGGGGTAAGACAGAACAGAGACAGGTCACTAAGGAGCAGGTAGGGGTAAGACAGAACAGAGAGAGGTCACTAAGGAGCAGTTAGGGGTAAGACAGAACAGAGAGAGGTCACTAAGGAGCAGGTAGGGGTAAGACAGTACAGAGACAGGTCACTAAGGAGCAGGTAGGGGTAAGACAGAACAGAGAGAGGTCACTAAGGAGCAGGTAGGGGTAAGACAGAACAGAGACAGGTCACTAAGGAGCAGGTAGGGGTAAGACAGTACATAGACAGGTCACTAAGGAGCAGTTAGGGGTAAGACAGAACAGAGAGAGGTCACTAAGGAGCAGGTAGGGGTTAGACAGTACATAGACAGGTCACTAAGGAGCAGTTAGGGGTAAGACAGAACAGAGAGAGGTCACTAAGGAGCAGGTAGGGGTTAGACAGTACATAGACAGGTCACTAAGGAGCAGGTAGGGGTAAGACAGAACAGAGAGAGGTCACTAAGGAGCAGGTAGGGGTAAGACAGAACAGAGACAGGTCACTAAGGAGCAGGTAGGGGTAAGACAGTACATAGACAGGTCACTAAGGAGCAGTTAGGGGTAAGACAGAACAGAGAGAGGTCACTAAGGAGCAGGTAGGGGTTAGACAGTACATAGACAGGTCACTAAGGAGCAGGTAGGGGTAAGACAGTACAGAGACAGGTCACTAAGGAGCAGGTAGGGGTAAGACAGTACAGAGACAGGTCACTAAGGAGCAGGTAGGGGTAAGACAGAACAGAGAGAGGTCACTAAGGAGCAGTTAGGGGTAAGACAGTACAGAGATGGGTCACTAAGGAGCAGGTAGGGGTAAGACAGAACAGAGACGGGTCACTAAGGAGCAAGTAGGGGTAAGACAGAACAGAGAGAGGTCACTAAGGAGCAGGTAGGGGTAAGACAGAACAGAGACGGGTCACTAAGGAGCAGGTAGGGGTAAGACAGAACAGAGAGAGGTCACTAAGGAGCAGGTAGGGGTTAGACAGTACAGAGACAGGTCACTAAGAAGCAGGTAGGGGTTAGACAGTACATAGACAGGTCACTAAGAAGCAGGTAGGGGTAAGACAGAACAGAGACAGGTCATTAAGGAGCAGGTAGGGGTTAGACAGTACAGAGACGGGTCACTAAGGAGCAGGTAGGGGTTAGACAGAACAGAGACAGGTCACAAAGGAGCAAGTAGGGGTAAGACAGAACAGAGACAGGTCACCAAGGAGCAGGTAGGGGTAAGACAGAACAGAGACAGGTCATTAAGGAGCAGGTAGGGGTAAGACAGAACAGAGAGAGGTCACTAAGGAGCAGGTAGGGGTTAGACAGTACAGAGACGGGTCACTAAGGAGCAGGTAGGGGTACGACGGAACAGAGACAGGTCATTAAGGAGCGGGTAGGGGTACGACAGTACAGAGACGGGTCACTAAGGAGCAGGTAGGGGTTAGACAGTACAGAGACGGGTCACTAAGGAGCAGGTAGGGGTTAGACAGTACAGAGACGGGTCACTAAGGAGCAGGTAGGGGTAAGACAGTACAGAGACAGGTCACCAAGGAGCAGGTAGGGGTAGGAGAAGACAGACCAGAGACAGGTCCTTATGGAGCAGGTCAAGGATGCCTACAAGTAGACTGCAGACGTTGGGGACTGGAGGATTTTTTTGAAGGATGAGTTTCTAAAAACAACCACAGCAGCAGCAGCTGGCTCACCGGTGGTAGTCCTTGACGCAGTAGATCTTGTTCTCCGTGTCCACGGTGAAGGGCACGCCGTCCAAACTCTCGTTGCAGATGGCGCAGCGGAAGCAGCCGGGGTGGTAGGACTTCCCCAGGGCCTGCAGGATCTGAGGGGAAACGCAACCACAGAATATCAGAGCCCCCCCCGGTCACTGTCCAACCCATCTCAATAAGCTAACAAAAATACCCCCCCCCCCAGGGGAAAATATCGCTTCATTGTGGTTATGGAGGAGGAGGAGGAGGAGGGGAGAGTAGTGTCAGCCTGCATGGAGAACATGTGTAGACTGATGCCATGGGAGCAAATACACCCACTCACTGTGTGTGTGTGTGTGTGTGTGTGTGTGTGTGTGAGTGAGAGAGAGTGAGAGAGAAAAAGAAAAAGAAAAAGAAATAAAAAGAAAGAGTGAGAGAGTATGTGTGTGTTAAATTCATATTTAGTCCCACAAACATAGATGCGAGTCAAAGGACGGACGGACAGATGGACAGACAGAGTGCAGTCACTCCTCCTCCCCCTAAACCGTTATTATTCCAGATGTGCATACAGGAAGCCAAGTGCAGTCACAGCTGCTCAGTGTTCCTGACAAGGGAATGTGCCCTTCACACACACGCACACACACACACACACACACACACACACACACACACAGGAAAAAGAAGAATTTACCATATCCATGATCAAATGTCCACACGCGTTGCATTTGTCAGCAGACTGCTGGAAACCTGAGAACTGAGACAGACGAAGCAGAAAAACACATGTAGCGATATTGTCTATTGAAAAGACGTGCACACTGCTCCCTCAGACACTCAATAGGCTACCATTGTTTTTTTTGGCTGGCGGCGAGTGAAGAAAATCTGCCAGCTTCTTGCATATTTGACCAGCATTTGGCTGGTGGCGGGTGCTAATTGTGTGCCCTGGACATAACCCTGCGTGGTGGAACTACAAACAACCAGACATCAATCAGAAGCGCATTCTGACTCGTTTCATTTGCTTATCGCATAATGACGAGGCCCAATTAGTAATGGGCTGGTTGAGTAAGATTGACCACTTATTATAAATAATACATCGACGGCAGCATGCAGATACATTCTGGTACAGTTGAAGATCAAAGAGCCCTTATCGTGGATAAATGTTTAAATAATTATAACTCATAAGTGATGACACATTCATCATGCTTGGCTGGTTGCAGTCAGCATGATGTTGATGTTTATGTTTATAATAGGTGATCATTTTCTTCAATTAATATTTGTGGCCATTAATCCACCTCTAAATTGTTCATACTAGGCATATATCCAAATGATACATCCCAATGTTTTGAAACAAAAAGAAAGCACTTATTAACATACGCTTGCTCCATGCTAAACGCCTCATCGCTTTGTCATGGACAAATTAGAAAAGGCCTTCATGCCCGTCAATGGAGAAAATCACTGAGAAAGGAGGTAGAAAGGAGACCTTCGATTCCATATGGGAACCGTTCATTCTCTTTATGGAAAATATGGATATGTCTAAAGCACAACAAGGGGCTGAGGAAATGGGAAATGTTGAAGTGATGAGAGGTTGGGTATAAGCAGAGAGAACACCTGACCTGTTTTCACTTCATTTTATTGATGTTTAATTATGTGTTTTAATATTGTCTTGATGTTTGTCTATTTGTCTTACTGAAAAATCAATAAATACACTGTTCACATTTTTTTTTACCATAAGCCTTGTTGTCACTCTAGCAACAGCCGT